AAGGGACTTCCCAGTATAGAACTGGGAAAAAGAACAGCAGACCCCAATCTTATCTAAAGGAATATTTACAAGTGAATGCTGCTAGATGAGGAACAGCTGACCCTCCTAAAACAAAGACCTCTAGCTAGGCTGACTAGATTCACCAGAAGGGCAAGTAGTGGGGAATGGCTGGGGTGCTGACAACACAGCGGACAGTAGCAGGGATATCAGAGCATAAGGGCTCTAGTGGGGGGAGGGAGGCTAGGGGAGGGTGCCATGAAACCATTCCTACTTTTAATTATTTTATTTATTTACTTTGTTATTTATTTTGCATGGATGAGTGTCTTGCCCATATGTATGTACGTGAACCATGTGCATGCAGTACCTATGGAGGCCAGACTAGGGCAACAGATGCCCTAGAACTGGAGTTACAGATGGTTGTTGGCCACCATGTGGCTGCTGGAAACCAAACCTGGGTCCCAGCAAGTACTCTTAACCACAGAGCCATCTCTTTCCCTGATTAAGACCATGATAGTGAAAGACTAACTGCTTTCCCTCTAAGACAGAATACAAAGAAAGGCTTTCTACACCTATCAATGTTATTATAGTAATGAATATTCTTGCCACTTTAATAAGGCAAGAAAACTAAAGTTAAAAAGAAATAAGGAGATAGAAAGGAAGAAATAAAACTATCTGCAGGCAGCATGGCTGCCTACATAAAAAAAAAAAAAAAAAACCATAAGGGAGGTGCCTAAGCCTCTATAACTAATAAGTGTGACCACAGAACAATCAATCATGTTTCTATATGCTGATAACAGACAGCTAGAAACAAAAGCCAAAACCTGAATAGCAGCTCTAAAGAAAACCAAATGTAAATCTTAGATATAAATCATAACAAACCCTTAATATAGGATCATATTAAACAACAGTATATAAAATGTGGGTGAAAGAAATCTGGGGCTGGGGCTGGAGAGATGGCTCAGCGGTTAAGAACACTGTTCTTGCAGAAGACCCGGGTTCAAATCCCAGCACCCACATGGCAGCTAACAACTGTCCGAAACTCCAGTTCCAGGGGATCTGACAGCCTCTTCTGTCCTCTGCAGGCTTTGCACAACATGGCTTCACTTACCTACATGTAGGCAATATACACATACACATAAAATTAAAATAATAAATAAAATATTTTAAAATAAAAAATAAAAAAAAGAAAGAAATCTGGGGCTGGGGCTGGAGAGATGGCTCGGCAGTTAAGAGCACTGACTGCTTTTGCAGAGGACCCTGGTTCAAATCCCACCACCCACATGGCAACTGTCTGTAATTCCAGTTCCAGAGGAATCTGACACCCTCCTCTGACCTCTGCAGGCATTGCACGACATGGGTGCACCTACCTACATGCAGGTATATACACATAAAAATAAAAATAATAAGAAATCAAATATTTTTAAGAAAAAGAAATGCAGGAAATCTAAAGACCTGGAGAAATGTTATTATGTTCACCCACTAGCAGCCTGAATGTAAAAGTATCAATTGTAAGTTGATTTACTGGTTAAACTCAATTCCTAAGAAAATGTCAGCAAGTTTCTTTCTCGATATAGAGAAGTTTATTCTAAAACTAATAAGTAAAGAAAAAGGCTCCTTCAGAGGCCAATATAACTTTGAAAAAGAGGAACAATACAGCCATGAATAAAAGCCTAAAATAATAAAATAACAAGATTAATTTAAGAAAAGAACTGAGTCGGAGAAGCCACTAATCCCACTGCAATAGTCAAGAGAGTGTGGTACTGGCAGAAAAACGGCCTCATAAATCAGTAGTGAGTATGCCCAATTAGTAATAGACAAACGGGAAAGGTGGGCCAATGGGGGAGAGACAGCACTGACAGCTCATTGAGCTGGAGCAACTGGAAAGAAATTGTCAAAAAACACAAAACTCAATGTAAACTCATACAACATTTAACTCCAAGTGGATCCTGGCTTCAATGTAACACTAAAATGTTTAGACAAGAACACAGACGGTCTCAGGACCTAGGACAAGGTAGAGAATTCTTAGACTCGTTAGTTACCAAGCATAATCTGTAGGAAGACTAGTTAATGAATGGGATTCTATCAAAATCCAAAAACTGTTCTGTGAAAAGTCCTGACTAAAAAGAAAGGACCAATTACAAGCTGGAAGCAAGCATTTCCATATGACGTACTTGAAAAGGTCCTTGTGCCTAGAATGAATAAATGACTCTCAGAAGTTAGTACTAAAGGACAGTGGATCTAATGAATAAGAACAAAGTACAGTGATTTATACGTAGGAGAATGTCCTGGTGACACCTCTGTCTTTGTATGCTAACCAAAAATTAGTTTAAAAAAATAGTCATCTAATAGGCTGCAGGCAAAAGGTATGCACAGACATCTCACCAATGAAAATATGCAGATAGGAAATAATCACCTAAAATATGTTCTACACAGTGAAATTGAAGCTATATTGATATGCCTGTAATCAGAAGGACAAAAATACAAAGATAGTGGTAACTCTAAATGCTGGCAGAGATACAGAGAAATGCTGTGCATAATTCATACATCATTAGAATATAAAACAGTACCATCATTCAAGCAAACACACACACACACACACACACACACACACACGAGTGCTTATATAGCTGGTGAAATCAAAGATCTATTGGCTGCACCAAAATGACTTCTGGATTCTGATAATATTCCACAGTTGCAGAAGAGGTTAACCTGGGTATGTAACGTGGTTTTCCTGCACGTTTCTTTGCAATCTCGTATGAACCATGAATTATTTCAGAGTAAAAATCTTTAAAGTATCTCCCATAAAGTCCTGTACAACATAAGGAAGTCTCATATTTGACTACAGACACTCTAGAAACCAGTCATAAAAAATTAATAGCATTACATTAATACTAATAGAATATTCATAATACATTATTACATTAAGTTCTTATATTTACAGTGGGAGGGAACCCCAACTACTCAGAGGAATCTCCTTCCAACAAACCCAATTTTCACAGCTGTCGTGAGAGGAATTTCTCCTTGTAGAGTCTCATGAAAAGAATATTCCAACTGAGTTCAGGCTCTCGAGCCAGTCCCCAGAACCCTGAAGAACAACCCTCTTCAGTGGAAACTTTCTCCGCACTGCTCCCTACAAAGCAAAGACTTACGTCCTCCATATGCCGTGACCACAGACACCGTCCTTTTTAGGAACACGTCCAAATACTAGTGGGTGCTTTTTCCGATAAGATGGATCACAATTGAGGCTAAAAATCATTTGCAAGAAGGAGTCCTTTTTTAGGCCTGAGCAGAAGCCTTAACAACCCAAGGTCCCTCGGGAATGCACTCTGTACGTACACTTGCCCTCCCACTCAGGCATCTCTGTTGTGGCACACCTCTGTGTGTATCCTCCTAGGTAGGTGCACTGGATGTTGTGGTGGTTTGAATGAAAATGTCTCCCATAGGCTCCAAGTGCTTGGACATTTTGTCCCCAGATGATGGCACTGTTTTGGGAGGTTTTAGAAGGTGTGGCTATCCTGGAGGAAGCATGTCACTGGGGGTGGGCTTTAAGAGTTCTTAAGCTTTGCCAGATCTCCAGTTGCTCTCTTGCTTCCTGTCCCTGTGTGATGATGTGAGAGCTTAGCTTCTGCTGCTCCTGCTCCAGCCACCTCCAGTTATATGGACTATAACTCCCCTGGAACCGTAAGCTCAAATTCTTCTTTCTATAAACTGCTTGGGTCAGTGTTTCTATCACAGCAACAGAAAAGTGACTGATACAGATGTCCAGGCAGATGTTAAGACTCCCAACCAACCCCACAGAGGGACAAGGAGATTCATGCAGAGTCTTGACCCTCCTCTCTAGTATTGGAGTCCATTTATCACTTTGGGACAAAGCTCGGTCTAACAAAGAAGTGTTCCTTTACTTCATACTACCTTCTGGAGTTAGAGGGTAGGATGTGGGTTCCATCTCAACCCAACTTGTACCCTCACAGGGTACGAGAAATCCTTCACAGGGATTTCCTTGTTCATTCAGATCTATAGGGAAACGATAAGACAGTCCATGTCCTGGGAACCTTCTGGGCCTACATAGGATCTCAACTCCCAAATGCATGTGGCATGTAGTTATGACCCAGCCAATAATTTGAGACACTGACTTCAAAGCTACCCATTAAAGACTGACAGACATGATTATTTCTGATCTCAGAACAGCGAACAAATGACTTCCCTCTCAAATGGCTTCTTTCTAACAACGATATACAAAGTCAAGACTTCACTCACTAGTCCAAAAATGAGCACCCACTGCAAATACATACAGTACGTACAAGAGCCTGGATTAGAACAATCATCTTGCCAACTTACGTGGAACTAGTCTGAGGTTGCTCAAATGCTTCTTTTGGAATTTTAAGGCCAGGATTTCGCTTCTTGCCTATGGGGAAAGACACAAGGAAAAAGTTAAGAATCTACAGAACTTCAAGAGAGCAGAGGTATAGACTGCTAGGCAAGGGGACAGGCTTGCCACAAGCATACGCTTTCCCAGCTCAAAACACAATTTCCTACTAAAGTATTCATTCCACGAGTGATCAGGACCAAGGTACCAGAAGGCACTGTGTTTCTTAAATTAGGTCTGGAATCAGAAATGGTGGTATTGTTGGCCCAGGGTAAACACGTCAGGGTGAAAGTGGTGATTCTTGATTCGGGCGTAGCTCAACAGGAAAGCACCAGCCTACCATCCACAAGACCCTGGGTTTAATCCCCAGCAAGGAAGAAAGGCCGTCAACTCTCTTTTGCTAGGAAGATGAACACTTCCTCCCTGTTGAGAGATTGTTACACTCATTTCTTTGGATTTTCTTTTAAATATAATACAATATAATAATTGTGATGGCAGATGGCATTAATTATAGGTAGGGTATTTCTGTTGCTGTTCATTTGTTATTATTTTTAATGTCAATAAACTGTAATCACTCTGATTTCAGTATCTTACAGTTTTCTAAATTGGTCTGTGAACAGTTGTTAGAACTGATGATGGAAATGAATTTAAAACGTCTTTTCCACTGTTTTGCTCTGGCTTATTGCCCAGCTACCTACCAGAGGCTGAAAGGCTTAACAGAAAGCATTTTAATACTTGAAGACTACAACAGTACTTTATTTCTACTGCTCTGCTCCAAAAAGGATTACGATCACAAACGGGCCTGTACCGGGGGGTTATCGCTTCTTTGGGGCCCAGATGGGAATTTAGCCCCATGTTGTTCATCCCTGGGCTGAGACTACAAGGAAGCTTGGCTTGAGTCTTTTTGTTGATGAGGTAAAAAGAGCAAACTGAGAAATGCCAGCTTAGGAAGCAGACTGGAAAACTCAGTCTTATAGGAGCCTGGGATTTTTCCTCCTGTAGGCAGATCCTGGGTCTCTCACTTGGCAGGGGAAATTAAAACAGGGCTGGATCTGACGCCCGTCATTCCACCTCCCTCCCATCCCTTCTCTGTATGGCAAGTGAGCACGGCAGAGCTGACACAAGCCCTGGATGAGATCTGGGTGGATTTTTAAACTTCTCAAAATAACAAGAAATTAAAGTAAACTCTTTGGATGAAAATGGCATCCAAAGACTTTGGCCAATCTCAGAGACAGCAATGACCTCGTCAGAACCTGAGACCAGGTCTCCTGATACTCAAGGTGGAGCACGTTCCACTTACTACAAATGTTGGAAGCATAGGAAAGGCCAAGCAGAGTGGGGTAGGGGCACACGGGATTTTGGGTTTGAAAATCACCAAGTTCTTCCTTTTACTAAATGTATTCACTAACTCTTCTGTGGCTGTGATATAACACTATGACCAAGGCAACTTGGTCATAGAAGGAAGAGTTTATTTGGGCTTATGGTTCCAGAGAGATAAGAATTGTCAGGCACGGCAGCAGGAGCAGGAAGCTGAGAGCTCACATCTTGAACACGAACACAAAACAGAGGGAGCACATTGGAAGTGGATAAGGCTACGAACTCTCAGAGCCCACACCCAGTGGTGTACTTCCTCCAGCAAGGCCACACCTCCCAAAGATTCCATAACCTCCAGAAGAGTGCTCCCAACCTGGGAACAGCGATCAAATACTTGAGCCTATGGGGGACATTTCTCGCTCAAACCACTACATCAAGTAACCTTTAGACTGGCATTTGATCTGACTCTCAGTTTCCTCCACTGTAAAATGCAGAGAAGGACAGAAAAATACAGAAGTATTTTATAAAGCCTATTTCTTTGGACTTGTGAGAATCAAAGCAGACATGAAACACCACAAGTATCTTGTAATTACTGTCATATGGAGAAACACTCAGTACTGTCTTACTTTTAAAATAATGATAATAATTTAAGAAATTCATGAATAAAATTAGCTATGTTATCACAATCCAAGTATAGTATGTAATTGAGGGTTTTTTATTTTAAAGCTATTCTTTAAAAATTCAATATAGATGAATTCCACCAAGCAGTACATAGCCAGGTAGCTAGTATTCAACATAAAGAAAACCATTTAGTAAAATCATTAGGAAACAATTTTTCTCAATTAGCTCTTCATTTCTTTCTACGCATTTTATAAGATTCAACACTCAGTGTTCACTCCTGCTGCTACTCAGGTGGCCGTTCAGTACTTTTTATGAAGTTAATCCAGCACAATACAATGTCTATTGGCAATACATGCAGCTTTTTACTGGGCTGCTAGGTGGTGTGTCTGGTTGTGAGAAGACAGTGGTTGAACGTAAGAAGTTTCACCCATGAATCTCAGCCCTACAGAGAATGCAAATTTCTCACTCCACTGAGAAATAGGATTCAAAAAGTTCAAATCACTACTCACGGCGATACAGGGGCACAGGTACCTGTACCAAAAAATACATCCTGTCTCTCTCTCTCAAATAAATAGTAGAATATGTTCTGCCTGTAAGAAGGGGTTCCCAGCGGCCATCTAAGCAAAACATAAGCATCATTTACTCTTCAATTCCAACATCTCTCTCTTCTTCACATCCAAGGCAGTTCCTATACGGCAGGAACAGGGATCTGTTTCTGGAGGACAAATTCCTTTGGAAAAGCTGAACATAACATTCAATCAGAGATGTTCTTAGCAGCAACTAGTTTTTACACTATAACACAACAAATTATCAAAACATCTATTCAAAGACAGAGAAAAGGAAAGAGGGATGAAAGAAGAGGAGAGAGAGAATTTTTATGGGATAAAAGAACAATAATAAATCTTCCGAGTGACCAGAGCCCTCAGGTGTCTTCATTTCTTCACCTGTAGACCCAGCTACCCTAACCCCCGTCCCCAACATCAACCTTACTCTCTTCCCCTGAATTTGCTATCCTTAGTTAAAATGATCAGCTTCTTATCTCCAGATTCGACCCCTGACTATAAGTTAGAGATTGTGCACAGTGTTCAAAGTTTTCACAAGTATAAGTTCTCTAAACATTCCAACTCCTGACAGCAAGAAAAAATACTTCCAGGAGACACAAAACTTAGTTGAACATCACTTTTAAAAAAAAATGCCCTGCAGTCACTTCAGGAAATAGATCAAATAACACAAAAACCATGCACAAACACACCAAGCCCTTCCAGAACTCACTTTCCCATCTCCAAAAGTATCAGAAACTCCAACGAGATTTTCAGAGCTGCGTCAGGGCCAACAGAAGACATCCTTTACTAAGCCCCAGAGACTGCACACTTCAGCGGGGAACACCCCAACAGAGCAGTCTCCACCTCCTGCTCCAGTCTGTGGGGCAGCAAACCTCTGTGAGTTCATTGTTCCTGGGCACTGGCTGTTCAGGGAGGGGAGAAGGGAAGCGGGAGCCATTTAGATGCCCAGGGGTGGCATTGACCATTGACCAGACCTGCAGTTTTAAATCTATAAAGTAATTCTGGAAACACGACTTCTCCATCCTTTTTATAAATGCCTCTTTCACTTCTTAAGAGAAAGAAAAACAATAGGTGGTCGGTTTCCAGCTGTGCTTATTTCTCGGCAATTTGTTTCCCCAAGGAAAGCTACCAACAGCTCATGCTAACGTTGAACACAGTGCTGGAAAAAAATTAATCGGAGGAAGCAAAATAATAATAAAGCTAAGCAGCCAGCTATGTTCATGGACCTTTTCCCTTGATATCCCAACCCAAAAATTTTAAAAGTCAGAAAATAGACTTTACCTCAGGTAGCAAACAGAAAGAGAACAGGCCTTCTCAGAGAGAATTATAGCTCCTGTATACTTTTTCTGTTGATACAAACTGCAAAAGGGAAGCCCGTTGGCCTGACTGAACACATTGCAGCCTGTGTTCCATCACCTCCCGTGTGACAGCCGTGCTGAGAAACGGTTTCTCTGAAAACAGTAGAGTCCCAACACACATAGCATAGCAAAATTCATCTTAAAGCAAAGATAGGTGATGAGAATCCATACCTGGGGCAAAACAGCACTAAGCAAAGAGGGAGAAAAAAGAGACAGAAACAGAGAAACGCTCTGCCATCAGACAGACAGTATTTACCAGGCCACATAGAAATGTTCACTAGCTTTGATCAGACACAAAATGATAACATGAACAAGAGGTCTTGCCCAGCAACACCTTGGAGAGGGTGAGCATAAAGGCCTTTTCTGATGAGCCTTATTACATAAAATACAAGGTCATGCTCCAATGCCAACCCAAATAGCACGGAGCCCCACGCTGGCCAGCAAACAGTGGCACCCCGAGATAAGCCGATGCCTAAGTATTTGTCAGCCCCACTAAGATTTGTGAGTGTGAGTCCGAGGGTCAGTGACTATGAACACAGCTTCACAAAAAGATGAAGATTCTGCCAGGTGCAATTTTATTTTGAAAATGTGTTTCCCAATATGAATGGGTCTTCGAGCCAAGTAACTGGCAACCTGGAGGCCCTGGCTGCTCTCTCCTTACAACTTATATCTGAGCTTGTGTTCCAACTATAACTGGTAATAAAACTCAGAGAAGTGTCATTTGATGTTATTAAACTACAATCATTATATGCAAAGTAGCTAATGGAGCTCAGAGGAGGAAGAGGCGTACAGGGGAAAAGAAAGCTTTACAAAAGCCACATGGAAAAGACCAAGGACCCTCCATCTCCCAAACACCACCAGATATCGCACATCACCCAGACTCTGTGCTATATGCAGAGTCTCTTAGAGCTGGGAAGCTCATTTGAAAACATCCATTCACTTTGATTTTAAGGATGCAGAATGAATCTCTTTTTTAATTATTATAAGCTTTTATTACAAACTTTTATTTTACATGTGTGCTTTGCCTGCATGTATATAAGTGCACCCATGCAATGCAAGGTCTGTGGAGGTCAGAAGAGGGCATCAGATCCCCTGGAACTAGAGTTACAGATGGTTGTCAGCCAACATGTGGGTGCTGAAAAAGGTACCTGGGTCCTCTGCAAGAGCAGCCAAGTGCTCTTAA